GTGGGGTGGGTGCGAATTGTGGTGTGGTAAGTAATAAGCCAAAAGAAAAGGTTTTCGATGACGTATATTGCATCCAGCAATCACCTAATTGCTTAGTGATTAATGTCGTGGCTTCTGTTTAGGTTCTAAGTGGTTGTATAAACCGCAATTATCATGTGGCTCATGCAGTGTTGTAGTGATCAGTTTCGTGTTGTTTTCCTGCATTTGCATTTATCGCTGCTTCTCTTATTTTCAGTGGGTTATTCTTCGAGAAGCATTTGAAGTTTATCCATTTAAACGATAGACCAGTACCGTTTACCAAAATGGACATGCGTTATTTACTACGGGTGAGTAGTTGTGACGCGGGACGCCGTTTATCTGCTGTCCGATGTGCACATGTGATAGTGACACCAGCGCTTTTAGTGTTGAAGCTTTTTTAAACGGATACGGGCTGTTACACACAATGCGTTGTAATTCATTTCTTAAGAGCTTCCTTTCTTCATGTCACATCTGTTCCTTGTGATTCGCGCGACAAAACAGACACCCTCTATTTCTCCCGTGTCGTACGGTTGTTCTCTGTTCGCGGCTCCACTGACCCTCCCCCCCCCCCCGTATTGCGCCTACAGGAGAACTACGACCCGTGGTTCGTCGACCACGTGTACTCGTGTCAGGAGGTTACCTACACTGAGCTGAAGGCCCGCCAGATCGGCCACAAGGACTGCGTCCGGATACAGTACGTCACCAAGGACGGCTTCAAGAGGACCGCCAAGATGCTGGGACTCATGGACGACCTGAAGGTAGGTGGATTTCACAGACCAGCTGACTGCAGATTGCAGAGATTGGGCTATTTTGAGGGGTTGTGCCACGGTACTGCGGAAACCATACAGTGTGTCCTGGCCATAGTTTTGTAATTACATAATAACTGTCGAATCGCATTCTGGATCTTTTTGATGTGTTGCATGTTTCACATTGTTTCTTCTGAACATAATAAATAATTTAAAAAAAAAATGCGATCTCATCTTTCCATGCCTCTTTGTGGGGTCAGTGGTCAGACTGATCGCACATTTGCGAGTTGCGTGTCTTGCGGCGCAGTATATGAGCAGGCGCTGACTACTGCTGCCATCTGGTGACGGAAATGTAGGCTGAGCTTCGCGGTAATCCATTCTGTCTTGAAGTGCTACGTTGGACTAACACATTGCCACTTGTTGACTCGCGAACCTTTCCGCCTTATTGTCTCACCGCCTTACCCTCTCTCGTCCTTCTGCAGTCGGGCGTACCACGCACCGGGTACCGGGGAGTGGTGAGTTTCATGTACGAGGACCGGCGGGTATACCTGGCCCCCCGACCCGACTGGACCAAGTACGACCTCACCTGGAGCTAGCGCCGGCACCGCCGCCCGCCCCGCCCGCCGCCGTCCGAGACGCAGTCGCCTCACTCGCCGCCGATGGAGACAAATCCTGCGCAGATGTGTCTGTTGTCCGGCCTGCCGTCTCCGAGGCTAACTGTGATAGACGGAGGACGTCGCCCGGTGTCAGCGTGGGCCGGTCGCTGCGCTCCTGTGATACGCAGCTGCCGGGAAGTGCTCTGTGATAGCCGAGCTGCTGCAGTGCAGTGATCGGTGAACTGTGCAGTGCAGGGAGAGTGGGAGGTCGCTGGAGCGCCTCTGCAGGGCTGGACGTCGGTAGCCCGTGAGAATAGACTCCGCCCTGGACAGAAGTATTAAACACCTCTGGCTGGTGGTTATTGTTGATGGGACTGAGAGTGTCGTTTGTTGTTAATGCACTGCGGTGTAGATTTGTAGTTAACCGACGGCGTTGGGTGCGCCGGTGTTGTGATTTTGGGGTGCGGTGTCGGGCGGGTGTTTTACCAAAGCAGTGACGTCGAGCCGGGAGGGACTCTGAAGGGACTGAAGGTAGTGCTCGTACCGCAGCCTTCGTGTGGACGCTGCGACGTGTTACGGAGTCGCGCCACATCGACACGGGCGTCGTCTGTGAATCTCTCAGCGCGGAGATCCGCGTCAAAAATGAATTATATGAACTCGCCCACTGCATGGTGCTCTTCAGAAGCTGTTACGTGGTGGCGTGCGTTTACGGTTTGAGAGTTTTTCCTATATTCTCTATGAAAAGCGTTATCTGCCGAGTGCTACCACCTGCGATGAATTCGTAACTGCATTGTTAAAACAGTGTTGTCCTCAGAAGAGTCTCCAGAATTGTTATGCTAGTGCTTTGCTTAGCACTCTCCAGAATAGAGTCCATTTTAGCCAATATGTACTAGTATGACCTCCGATATATCCATATGGCTCACACGTTTACCACTTAACATGTATCATAAACAGGCTCTTCCAGCAGTTTGTCGCACATTATACTTGTGCTGGCCCATGACGAATCTACCTGTGCAATTGCGCATAGTGTGTGCTCCACAGAATATTAAGTGCTTTAGTGAGCAAAACTGTCGTAAACCGAGCGTGCCCGGCTGCCAGACGCTGATTGGCTGCCGCGTCTGTGACGTCACGGGTGCTAAGGACAGCTAGTCTCGTCAGTCTCGAGAGGACACACTCTGGTCTGCGGTTAGGAGTCTCGGCACACGATGGCTGGGGCACGCGCGACGCGTGTGTGCGGAGTGCTGAAACTCAGCGAGGTTGTGGTGCTTGCTCTCGTCTGGTCTGGTATGGCTAGGTCCACGGATATTTGTCACAAAAGTGGTGGATGTTTTCTGGCACAGTACGAGTATGCAACGTGTTTGTTTTGTTTTGAGGTAATTGGAAATACAAGGGTAAGTGATGGATTTGGCCTCTGTCCGCTTGTCAAAGTATGAATTGATGTTCTTCGAACCTCGTCCACTTGAAATTTTTGGTCAAGTTGAAGCTGTTTTTTATTGTTTGAACTACGATTTCTAAATGAACGCAGCGGGGAACAGGAATCGCCAATGAAATCAACAACCACGATACACCTCCGTCAGATAGGGATCGGTGCAGAGATGAGTACCTATAGCTGTTTCTATTTACTCGAGCATTAGGTACGCGTGACTTGACTGCACTTGCAGCCGTCGCCGATTGTAGTTTTCACTTTTCAAAATCGTGCTCTCAGCTCTGTTGCTATCATAGCCATTATACATATGTCATATCATAGCCATTGTATGTAGGTATAGGAATCTGTCATATGCCATAGCCATTGTATGTATAGGAATCTTGGGCAGGGTTACTTTTAAAGGGGGGGAAGAGGGGAATTTCCCCCCTTCGAAAATTCCGCTCCCCCTTTCAAATCGTGTCTGAACGGCTAGGGAGGGAAGGGGGAATTTCCCCCTTTCAAATTTATTTTGGAGCCCATTTTCAATCAATTCGCTATTCAGATTCTATAGTCATCGTTAATCAGATTCTCGTCATCAATCAACGTTGCTGGCGTTAAGATAATTATTAATTTTCAATTTTCGGTTCCATCCAACCATTTTACGTTCAGTGCAGCAGGAACTCCAGATTTGACCCGATACCGATCGGATAGTCGGTGGGACCGTCTCTTGTCTTGTCTCTTCCGTCTTTTCGCAATCACTGACATATCGGTACAGGCGTCGGCGTAGAAACCGGCGGGGGACGGGATTACCTCTCCGAACCAAGGGTGGATACAGGGGGAGGGGGGCAATGGGCCATGGCCCCTCCTTTGACGCAAAAAGAAGGTGACCCCCTTTTGGACCCCCTTTTATATTCTGTGTTCTTTCTCAGAAACGACCCATTTATTCACGATTATTTTCACTTTTTCATCGACGCCAAGGCCAGACATCTAAAATTTTTGTCCCAATATGACAATGGCCGTGTTTAACCATCCTCCAAACCGGAATCATTGAAGGAAAAACAACGTTATTTTTGTCCCATAGGCATCAAAGCTTTGAGTAATAAATGACTTTTCTCTTTATGCAGCATTCACGTTCATCTGCTTTGCATGCAGAGCAGGGCGCAAAAAAAGTACCTCATCACAGCCGGCTTTCCCAATGGAACTTTCACTGCTCACTAATACTAATAGTAATAATTCAAGTTTTGTGCTTCATTAGTTTTTGTTCGGATATCACTGCCCACCTTGTAGTTGTAGAGGTTGCAGTTTTGTAGCGCCGTCGTTTCTCTACATACACGACCACACAAAGAACTTTGGAATTGCTCGTTAACTGTAGCTTTTGTGAGCGTTTAAGAATTTCATGTTTTTTGCCCATTTTTGCTCGAACAGTTTGACATCAATTACTCCTGACCTAAGGTGACCTAAGACTTGAAATTTTGTGCGAAGGTTTCAAATTGATGCCCGGTAAGGTACTAAAAATTTGGCGGCGCTGCGCGCCGCCGTTTTTCGCTTTTCAAGAAAACCCACATGGGGGCCAAAATGACCTCCAATCAGGGCGCGGATTAACCTCTCTCTTTAGAAAGGCGTTACTTAATGTTTGGCCGGGGTATACCTACTAGTTATTGATACCACTGATAGGTTGATACTACTGATTGGCATTTGCAAGGGCGCAGTCAAGTTGGGACTTCCCCCGCCCCTTACAGCCAAGGTAGGTGCGTATATTTTTTAGCAAAATTATTTTTTGGCAACCTTCCAAAATAAAGTGGCTGAAACCCGAGGAAAGAATAGGATTTGGGGGTAGGTAAGGTTCTGCGGGCTCCATCCTAACGAAAAACCTAATGGTATTGCCGCCCACCCCCCTTTCAGATGCCCCTGGATCCGCCTTTGCCCCGAACTTTATTCCCCCTCTCAACTTTTCCTGTAAAAGTAACCCTGATCTTGGGCCACTGTAATCTGTATGCCCACCTGCCATGCTACAAAGAGGATGAGTGCTGCTGTTTTTTCGTGAGAGATGTGAGCTTTACTAAAGTCCATCATTGATATTTTGTATTTTTGGACAATGGGCATTGGGCATGACGCGCTAAGTCGTTGAACGATTCTGATTTCTAATAGCACGGTTTTTGGTTCGTGGGAAGAATCCTTTAAAGTTGGTAGCAATTTGGAAGTTTTCGTATCGTTGCGAAAACGGCGCTTTATAGACGTAATAGTTTTGATAAGTTTGGCTGTAATTATTTATTTTGCTTTGTTTTTTGGGGGTAGGTTGATGTTTTTCTCGTTTGTTTTTTACTAAAAAATTAATTACACAATTACACACTTAATAAGCTGCATTTAATATGCATATCATATATTTTAGTTAAGTTTTGCTTGTGATAAGGAGTAAGGATATTCGGTAACGGCTGGTTAGATGGTTTCAGGTAATTTCATTTTGTTATATTATGACGTGTGTTTAGTTATGTTAAATTAAGTTTTTATATGGAGTATATTTTTTAAGAACTACAGCTCCTTTACTTACATGTATTACTTTCTTTTTCAGGCCAAAGTAAGCCGAGATCATGCCTCCCAGGCCACGTGTTGAACACAGAGACATCTCGCCCATCATGCAGATGTTGAGAAATGCGCTGCTGGGGGTAAGTTTTCTCATTCTCTGATTCAAATATCATTTTTTAAATTATTTTCTTGAAGTGGTTAGGCTTTCAGTTTCAGCCCTAAATATGTCATATACCTACGGGGAGAAAGTACCTAACCAGGAAACAACTACAAGTGGTTATACATTGGCTGTTGTCACAGTGTCTACTGTCTGTCACATTGTAGGTATCAAGTCATTAAAGCTTCCAATGTGCATGAACTCAGCTAGATAAAATGGACTTTGGTAGGTATGGAAGGCCTTCAGTTGAAATGGTAGGGTGCAGACTGCAGATGATGGCAGTGAATTATAAGAAACTACCAATGATATATTTAGAGCATCTTGTTTTGACAAAAAAGATACTAAAGAAGCATATTTTACTATTTGTTCTTATTGCCTATCAGCCTAAAGGTAGTGTGCCACCTTTGAAAGATTTCCCATTTTATTTTTCCTAGGATAAGAAGCTTCTGTTTTTACCTAATATCGCAAAAAAAAATCAAAAATGGGCCTGGAAAGTGGAATAGTGCCTTTTTCGCCTAAAAGTTTATCGGTTTTTCGATATGTATAACAATTGTAGTGGGCTGACCTGCAAACAGGCGTCGGCAACAATCGCGAATGCGGCGCACATGTGACAATAAGCAAAGGTCATTATAGAGTTACGACGTACGGGAATGAGTTATCAGCTGTCTAATCGTAGACAACACAATGTAAGCCTGTATTGGTATTGTTTCTTTTATTTGGCTGTCGAACATTATTTATGGTTTGAAATATGATTTTATGTAAAATAATTGATATGAAAAAGCCGTCTCTTAAGTTATGACCCCATTTCACCACACGCAAGTGGCAGAAATGACAATGATCAGCTGACGCATTTTTCTTGGCCGAAGTCAGAGCGCGCGGCCTGACGCACCACCACCGCACCACAAAGTATGAGCAGAAGCCGCGCCCAAAGCCAGGGCCCCGGTAACGTGAGGTAGCCGAGTCGGGGCAGCGTGCGCTGACCCAAGCCGGGGCCGCAGCTTTGGGCGCGGTCTACCGCATCCCCGCGGGCAGCCCCGGGCTATCACATGACACCGGGAGGACGCGCGGCCCCGGCTTGGGTCAGCGCACGCTGCCCCGACTCGGCTACCTCACGTTACCGGGGCCCTGGCTTTGGGCGCGGTCTACCGCACCACCTAACAGGCGTGTTCGAAACCGCAGGAGATGATGATGAACGGGTTTATCGAAACTTGATTGGATGAGCATATCGGTAATAGCGATTTCAGTGTGTGCATTTATTGTTCATAGTGGTGTGAAATGTGGTTGGGGTACGACCGACAACCCGTCGGGGCGAATTTCGCACTGGGGTACTCAAAATTTGAAGAATTTAAGACGTTTCCATGAGTTTTGAAGGTATGGATAAGTTCTAAAAATCCGGTTCTCCTTATCTGGGCCATGAACTCCATACGGCCCAGGAAAGCTGGCACACTACCTTTAACCCTCGCCGGCACAGGCCAGGCCCCCCAGGCCCCTGGTCGAGCTAGAGCTTCGCGGAAAAAACGAGCGTGTTGCCCGTCACGAGAGGAAGCCGATGATACCCAATTTTAAGGTCCTAGGTCATCGGGTGACCTTCCAGGTCAGGTCAATGACCCGAAAACCGGGAAAATCGGGACCTGTTAGAAAGTCGTAAAGTGTGGCTGTCATGTGGTTTTCCGGGGTGCTGATCACGAATATCGTGTTAGTTTTGATCAGAGATGATGTCTTGAAGCATTTAGACCAGATCGGGTCAGGTCAGGTCAGGTCAACCGGTAGGGGTTGTGACGGGTATTCGTAATACGTGTCAACCGCCTCTGACAGCTTCGTAACATGTTACGAAGGCACCAAAACTACTTCGTAAATGTTCAAATGGTTGCTAAATTCGAATTCAGCTCCAAAAACTAGCCTAGAAACAAGTAAAACTCGAAAAAGTGAACCGAGGTCACCCGAGGTCACCAAAGGTCAATGACCTGACCTGACCTTCAGGTGACCTTGACACCCACCCTTATGTATGGGAGCAGCATCAAATCACATGTTTGAACGTTTGAAACCACGAGAAGGTTGCAAACGCGCGGCTAATGCGAGCCGACATACGCCGAATCGCGATTCCGGCCAAACATGGTCTCGCAAAAGAGGTCACAGGTCAAGGTCATTTGGGTCAGGGTCATGAAATTTTCAGGGTAGGTGTCAAATTGATCAATGCGAGGGTACTGAAAGTTTCGTCGCGATCGGCCGCTTTTTACGCGAGTTATTCGCGAAAAACCTTGGGGGGGGGTTGCATCACCCCCCCCCCCCTGTGCCGGCGAGGTTTAATTTAACTTCAACTTAGCATTCCAAATTTCTGATGTATTATTGAGACAGGGCAGAAACAGTGAGCTCATCAGCATAGGCGGCGGAACGGGGAGGGCACCGAGGCACTGTGCCCCCTTTGATTTTGGCATTTTAACATTAGCCCTATGGGCGTTGCATGGAAAGAATGGGACCAAAATTTGGCAGTGCCCCCCCCCCTTAATTGAAGGTGTTCCGCCGCTACTGCTCATCAGTCATGCTTCTCAATTTTATTATCAAGCATTAAAACACTATTGAGAAGCCATCTCCATTCACTCTCCAGTAGGTATGCTGTTTTACTCCAAGTTTCCCTCTACTCCCACCCCAAATCCCAAATGACTCACTGCCACCACCGCCGTGCAGCGGAAGGCCACGCCGGCGGTGCGGTTCCCCGACTCGCAGGCTGTGGCGCCGCGCACGCAGCCGCCGCCCGAGCTGCCCGACGGGCCTTTCCACAAGCTCAGTGCCAACTACTACTTCACTCGGGACGCGCGCCGTGAGGTGCTGCCGCCGGTGCTGCTCGCCGAGAACACCGGCGCCGCGCTGCTCACCGCCAAAAAGAGCAAGAAGGAGAAGAAGAAAGAGAAGGAGGCGGCGGCGGCGGCGGCCGAGACCGAGTGAGTACCAGGAGGGGGGGGGGGGGGGGTGGAGTACCGGGGGTACCTGGGGTTACGGGTGTCATGGGTTGTGGAGATAGAGGTTTATTGTTTATTGTTTATTACGCACGAAACAACCACAGGCTCCAGGCCCACTTACGGCTGCAGTCACATAACATACATGGGGCACATAAAAGATTCACGAACATAAAAGATGAATGACTAGACAGCGTAGATTAAGCATACGTAGATAGCACCGCTGCCTCAGCCATGGACATCAGTAGGAACCCTCACTGTTTGCGAACTTAAAAACCTGAGATCTAAAAGAAGATGGTGAGTAAAAGAAATCAGTCCCTGGCGCTTTTTTCAAAAGCGCGTTGCATGTTTCCGGTAGCCGCGACAGGAAGCCGTTACGCACAGATTTCACTCGCCCGCCCGGCACATGGAACATGCCAGTGTGACGGGTGCGTCGTGAGGGAACAGCCAGCGAGAACACGGATACAAGATACTGGCAGTCCAGGCGGTCATGCATGACAGACTGCAAGAACCTCATGTCGGTTTGAATCAGGCGAGCTTTGATGGACTGGATTTTAAAATGGTTCAAGAGTGTGGTGTAGTCCATGGAAGGGCAGCGGGGCTGAGTTTTACGCCCTAACCACATCAGAAACCTATGCTGAACACGTTCCATGCGTTTGAGATGAGTTGCGGCGGCCCCGGACCAGGTGACACTAGCGTACTCCATCACGGACAGCACGTGGGCTCTGTACGCTGACAAGATTGCATGATGATTGAAGTCTGGGCGGCGAGCACATGGGGACATCTGGACACTGCGCATCAGCAGACCGAGCATACGGTTCGCCTTGCCAACCGCGGCATCAACATGATCGGCAAAAGTCAGTTTTGCATCCAGGACGACACCAAGATCGCGTATCTGCTCGCATCGCTCCAGTTGATGTCCGTCCAGGTAATAAGTACCCTGTACCGGGGCCGTGCGGAGAGTGAATGATATCGTCTTGCATTTTGCTGGATTGAGCTTCAAGTGCCAAGTTTTTGACCAGTCGCGCAGACGGTTCAGATCGGCCTGAAGGGAAAGGGTGTCCTCGTGATTTCGAATGCGGTGAAAAATTTTGACGTCATCCGCGTATGCCAAACAGCCTGTCTTGATATTGCTTGGAAGGTCAGCGACATAGCAGGCGAACAAGATTGGGCCGAGAATGCTGTCTTCCGGGACGCCAGACAAGACTGGCGTCCACTCAGAGTGCTTCCCATCGACAATGACCCGTTGGGAGCGCTGGCACAGGTAAGACTCAATCCAGCAATCCAGAGGTGACCTTTGTTCTCTGCTGTTGTAAGCTTTAAGTTCATTTGAATCAATATTGTAAAATTTGATAATCTTACTTCGGATTTTGAGTGTTTCATCCAGTACCTACCAGCGCTATTCGAGTTTTATCTTGAAATTGTTTTCATGTTAAAGGGACCCTCCCACCTTCAAAAAAGTTTATGAATTGGCATGAAAGTGATGTCGCTCAGTTCAGAAAGAGCGAAAACGAATATCTACCAAATTTCACCGAAAAATATTCACCGGTTTTCAAGATATTAGACTTTTACTTTTGTTTACTTTTTTTGGATCTCCGCAGTTTCTAGCGACTTTATTTTAGAAGTGCGGCGTTTGCGGCAGATGTTGCGCGCAAATAGCATACACCACCGCGTGCTACAAAACGTTTTAGTCAAACATTTAAAAATCGTTAGATATCTGCGCTGACGTCACACATTCAGAGGGGTATTCCTAAGCATTAGCCCCTCTGAATCAAAATGCTGCAATTTTGAAATTCAATATTTTCGATTTAAGGCATTTCTCGATGTTGTGAGTGCCGAAACCGGTAATTGTGAGCCAGGGACCCCATTTTGGCTATCTCAACTCAAATCTAATGTTAAGGTGGGAGGGTCCCTTTAATTTGCTCCATCTATCGATAGATCTTGTTGGCGTTGTTTAATAGCACTTATTTTTCCGGCAAGATGGCAAGTTATAGTGCTTTCGTAACATGTTGCGACGTCGTCAGTGGTGGTTGACCCCTACTATAGATACCCAGCAGGACGCCTATATGACCTGACCTGACCGGACCTGGCCTAAATGCATGAAGGCATCATCTGTGATCAAAACTGAGAGAAAATTTGTGATCAGCACCCCGAAAACCCCACAACAGCTTCACTTTACGAAGTTCTACCAGGTCCCGATTTTCCCGACTTTTGGGTCACTGACCTGACCTTAAAGGTCAATCAATGACCTGGGACCTTTAAATTAGGCATCATTGGTTTCCTCTCGTTACGGGCAGCACGCTCATTTATTCCTCGAAGCTCTAGCTCGATCAGGGGCCGAACGGCAGGGCGGGGGGGGGAGTGTCCTACCGACCCCCTACACGCTAGACGCTGGAAAAGCCGCACACAGGCGAGGGTTAATATGTTTTTAATTGATGATTTCCAAACTCTGGATCTCCTCCCCGATACCGACCGTCTCGTCGCTTGTCTCAGCACCGACCCCCCCCCCCCCCCCCACGATGCCTTGTCACTCTACCCCAGTACTGACACCCCCCCCCCCTGACAGTGCGGGTGCCCAGGTGTCTACGGTAGCGGCGTCGGCAGTGCCGCGTCCCGGCCAGCCCTACGTCTGGGACGGCCGTGCCGAGGTGTGATCGTCGACACCGACAGACGACGTCAGGGTGCGTGTACATAGGGAGCTAGGATACTATTGTGGTCAATACAGCTATGTCGATAGGTGGATGTGTTTTTGGGAGGGTTGGGGAGGGAAGGGGAGTGATGGATGGGGCGGCGTGGGTGTGTGCTGTCCAATGAAAGCTGCTCGATGCGGGGCTGGGGTGATAGCGTGGTGAATGGGGGTGTGGCTTGGTTCATTTGGTGGAATTTATCATATAAGCAAGGTGACATGGCTAAGGTCAAAGGTGTCAGATCTAGAACAAAGCAAGTGCAGGGCAATTGATTCAAGATAACCTACAAGTCGCAGCAACAAGTTCGATGTCTGTTTTCACTTATAGTTTTTGCGTTGTTAGTATCGAAACCCGCGGCGTCGGTGGTTTTCTTTTATCTTCACTGTTTCAACTCCCTCGCTCACAAGAAAAGTGTTGAGCAGGCATCTCGGAGTGGGTCAACATCAGCCCATGGTCGTATCGATCTGTCTGTGAATCCCGGCTCAACTCGCTGGGAGTTGGCCCTAGGTCTGCTCTGAATCCCGGCCCAGCTCCCTCGCAGCCTGGTTTAGGTCAGCAATGAACGCCGGTGTTGCCAAGTCGTTCTTCCGTCTGGGCCAAACTGTGGGCGTTGGAGTTCTCTATATACCGTGGGCGTTGGATGGGCGGAGCCGCGGAACTGGGCCGGGTCGGACCCGGCTCGCAGATACGACAGAAGTTGTTTTACATGGCACAATATTTCTCCAAACAGTCCTGAATTATTTTCTTTCAGCAATAGAAAGCCGTTGAAACATCGTTTTTATCATAATCGAGATTAATCAAGTGTTTCCATTCGGGATGCATGTTTAATTGGCGAATATGGACGGAATACCAGTTGTCAACTTTGAAGACCTTCATCTTTGGCCGAGCCTGGACCGGTTTTTGTAAGGTCTGCGGTGGACTGGAGCGATCATCACTGTGGCTTGTCTGTCCGGCCACCTCGTTTTTAACCGTGACGGCCCTGGGAGTCTGCTGCATCATTGCTGACCTCGCTGCATGCCAGGCACGCTCGGTGGGACAACTGGTCCGGGCAGAGGCACAAAATGATGCACTGGGCACTTGGCACCTGGCACCATGCCAGGGAAAGTTCCGGAAAGTCTCAGCACTTGACCACATCGCAGACCGGTGTGAACCAGTGTCAGCCCTGTACTCGGTCCGTTCTTGCCTGGTCAGAACAGAAGTGATTTGTGATCGGACAGACATGAGAGCGTGCCTGGAGTACTAAACGGGGCGGTACGGAGGGGAAGGTGGCGGTGTGGCCGCCGCTTTGCCGCCGCTATTGTGGAGCCGTGCGTGGGGGATATCTATTGTAACGGCCACGCGCGCACTGGAGACGAATGGTGGAGGCGATGCGTATTGGGTGGTGACTGGTGTGTTGCCCACAGTCTCAAGAAAACGCCATTTCCATTTCTCCATCAGGACCTAGTGTAGTATCCATTTCTCCATTAAGATGCAAGAGATTATGTGCGATGCTGTAGAATCTAAACACACACAAAAACAGCGAGGCAGCTAAGAACTCACAACCTGACAGCGGTAGCCACATGACATGCACTGTATGCTTGCATAGTCACATAGCTCGGCAAACAAAACTGCTATGTGTCACATCAGCCATAAAACACGAGGAGAAGTGCACGGTTCTTTTTCCAAGAAGATGTCCAAGTGATCCAACAATGTAATGGATCGTAATTATTTGCCCGAGTTCGGCTCAAAGCTAGCATAATTGTTGACAGGTAATTGCGACACTTCATAGTGTACACTGTACAACGTTAAATTACGAGAAGTTCTGGCAAGGTGCTGCGAGGCATTCTTTGCTAAGTCAGACATATAATGGTTCTAAAATTGAATTGGCAGACTTCGCCTCACCTCACCAGTAGCCAGTAGGCGAGAAATGCGTCAGCAATCTGGATCAGTCCACTGAGCATTCGAGCTCAATTCCATTGTAGTACTTGCCACAAATACCGGCTTTACCCACGATTTCGGGTGTTGTTTGCAAAAATAGTAAAATATAACATCCATCTCAATCTTGGCAGCTATTTAGCCTCGTATAAAAGCTGATTAAGATTGAAAAAGTCATTGTAATGACTCAAATGGGACTAGTATTCAAGAGTAGAAAATGGGGGTAAAGGACGTCTTCATCAAAATATCCCGAATGATTCTGGAAAATGGCTATCAAAATTTTCTCCCCGTACCGATTTCCAACAGACGTCAATGTCCCAAACAACCCCACCCCAGTTTCTCCCTCACGGCACAATTACAAGCAAGGGCATCAGCCGCGTTATAACACCACGCAGAGCGTGCCGCGTGTTCTTCACACCTCCGGTACCGCGGCCACCCTCCCCAGTCCCCACCCCTCCGTTGCCGGGCGATCCTGCGTCACCAGCGTTTATACCAGCCCTGTGATGGATCACTTTGCAGTTGACCGAGTCATTACGAGCCGAGCGGCTGGCTCTGCAGTCCGACCGATCCCGGTCTCTGTCCTGGACTCACACACCCTGTGAAAGCCGCACGAGCGCACACTCCCTACCCACAGACAGTTTAGGGACACTGAACAGAAACGCACCGCCTTCCTCTGCCGCTCAAGCCACGTTGTCCTGTCTCGAGTCTCTGTGTTCTCACGCTCTGACTCAGCCCTGGTAGACCGTCATTCCGCCCGGCTGGGCCGTCCCTCATCGCTGCAACACGCGCTGTTGTTATGGTGTTTATCCTTCCGCCGCTCGCCGTGTGATGGTATGGGAGGCGGCTCGGAGCGATCTCCGACGCCGTTACATCAGCACGCAGCAACCGCAACACTGGGACGGGTAGTCCGGGAAGTGGACCTTGTTCTCGTTGCCGTAGATGTGGAAGACGCCCTCCTTTCCGTCCAGAATGTATTCCACCGCGTTTACGGGGACAATCTCCACAGAATGACGCTGCGGAGGGCAGAGGTAAAATGAAAATGACGTCAGAGGGGGTACAGTCCTCGAACGGACAGACATCGCATGGTGCAAGGCGACTGATAAATCACATTATTTTATCTGACTGCAAGAAGTTCTAATAACAGTGTTTGTCGTACTGCGTTGCGAGCGAACGATACAATACGACGATTGTCGTTGGCGGCGACTAAACTCATTCACACCGAAACGCGCAAACAAAGTGTGTAGATACCAAGGACTCGGTACTGAATGTCCTTCACATCCAATAAGCCTTGCAGCAAACTACCCAATGTGTTTCAATCATACTCGTCGAAGCAGTACTGTGCGTCTCCTTGATTGCATCAGAGCGTAGTGGAAACTTATGTCGGCTTTCCTCGGTTGGCGATGTCCTCCGGACCAAGAATACTTTATCCGGACAGCCCGGGCACCAAATACCCTACTAATCATCATCCTGTGACCAGTCGTCGGTCAGTATTATCTGGTGACCACCCTCACCTGCATGAGGATCCGCTCGTTGGGCCACTTGGTGGCGTGCTTGTGGACCAGGTCCTGCGAGGCCTGTCCGATCTGGGGGTCCAGGAAGCCGGCCACCGGTGCCACTCGGGGCTGCTCGTCGCTGAAGGCCACCTGACCGCTGGCCGACTTCACCAGCTTGTCGGGCAGCGCCGTCTTCTCCAGCACGAACGTGTCGTCGTGCTTCTTCCTGGACGTCGGGGAGACAGGGATGATAAAGTGAGAACCACACATGTGTGTGCCAAGTCCTTCAGGGTATACAAGATGCCTTTGACAGGCGCCTATATACTTAGATCATCTTCGGCGAAAGGAGATGCTCTGTTAAAAACGCCGAGTTGTACGGACGGTAAACAAACTAGAGCGCCGTACATCGGCCGATGGCCGTGGTTTAAGTCCTGCCCTCTGTTTACAAGTCGTCCATTAGTGAATGTTTTGCGCCTTAGACGTGCGAACAGCCACGGTTGGCGCTCCAGTCATCTCTACGCGGTCTACCTACTGTCCCTACCTAGCAGTAAGGCGAACGCACGTCAGGTAAAGGCACGTCACCTCTCGATATCGAGCGTCCCGTGTCCCTGGCTCCCGCACCAGCCCGCGGTCCTCACCAGGTGACGGTGAGCTCCACGTAGCAGCGCAGGTAGCGGCGCCCGTCGCACGTGGAGCACGTCTTCATGCCGGTGGTGTGACACCAGGTGCACGGCTTGGTGCCGCGGCCGTCGCACCAGGTGCACTGTTCGTCACCAATGCGCGTCCCGGTACCCGAGCAACTGCTGCAGGTCTCCTGCAACGGCCGAACGATAATGAAGGTGTTGGTAAACATCGAGCGATTGCCGTAAAAGACAAGGATGTATGCACCAATAAATAATAATATTTCTAGCTAATTGTAACTATGAGGGTCGTTAAAGTTCGCATTCTGTCGTTCCTTTAATTCACAAGACGGTGCTACGCTCGTCTGTTTTTACAGCTAACGTTTACCGATCACCGGACTCCGACCGGCAATTTTGAAGCTGTATAGTTACCGCTGTTGACAGTTTCGGTTTGTCGTAACTCGTACCCCGATGCGGTCTACTCACGTGTCCGCGGCCGTCACAGTCACCGCAGCGGATATCGCCGTGTCCGCGGCAGTCGTGGCAGGGCTTCACCACCTGAGTGTTGGGCACCTCCACCTTCTGGGAACCGTCCTGTGGACACAGAGTGGAGGCAGAGGCTAGGTGGGCGAGAGAGAGAGAGAGAGAGAGAGAGAGAGAGAGAGAGAGAGAGAGAGAGAGAGAGAGAGAGAGAGAGACCGACACCTACTGCTGCTCCCGTGAAACCTTTGTGTGAAAAAAAACAAACATTTAACATTATAACTATCATTTCACGAGCTCAATGACTATGTAAGACATGCTCTACCGTTCTTTCTTTTGTGTATTAACCGTCCTTGCCTAACACTAACCAGTCCCAAGCCTGGAGATGCTTTCAACATCCCGCGATATGTGACTCATCATACGCTGCACATCTCTCCTAAACAAAAATAAACACACATCATCAGGCGCATACCTTGAACATTTTCTGAGGCGCTACGGGTACGTCCCAGGGCAGGGGCGGCTGGAGGCCGGTGGCCGCCAGCGCCGCGCCGTCCGACGGCTCGTACTGCCACTTGGTCTCTCGCGCCTCCGTGAACGTGTCCAGGGTGTACTAAGGGTGGGGGAGGGGGGAGGGGGACAAAGGGAGCAGCGTGAGATAGGGTGAGAAAGACGAGTGGCATTGATTGGTTTCATACGAAGGTTGCGACGCAAGACTTTTTATAGTCTTCATAGCACCTGTAACATGAATACGTGTTACCAGTTACCGAAATTAAATTACACTCTCACCGATAGCAAGAGTTAAAAGTATCTATTGATCAGAAGTCATAACCTATTTATGATGCCAACTGCAAGCCTACATGGTACCTTGTGTGGTTAGCATTCGACGTACGCGCTATCCTAAGTCGTAACCGTCTACGGTATGAGTAAAAAATAGACGGACCTTGAATGCCGACGACGGAGCTATGTTGACGATTTTCATGTCATTGGCCGGCCCCTTTCCCCAGCAGCAGTTTTCCGAGACGAGCTGGTTGAGACAGGCGCGTGCCTCGTTGTCGGTGAGGGCCTCCTGGTTGTAAGAGACCGGGCCCTGGTCACCGCCCCCCGATGGCGGCTCGTAGGGCGGCGGCGGGGGGAGGAAGCCTGCAGAACGGGCCGACAGAGAACATTAAAGCGTATGTTTCTTGAGACGGATGTCAAGTGAATATCTAAACGGAAGTCATGTTGCTCAAGATATGTGGTGACGAAGTCGACTCGTAATGCAGTTCAATCCACGAAAAAGTTTTTGATTGTGCAGGTGAACCTTTTATCAGAATAGTTTTTAATCAAAACAATGTTTCCTTTATATATGACGAAAAGTGTGGAATGAAATCCATCACCTTCGGCAAATATATTGCCAGAAGATTGGGAATAGGTAGGTATAAAACAAACGAGCATTGGAATCAAAACCGCACGCTCCGACACGGCTATCGGCGAAGTGAGTACACAATACACCTGATGTTTGTGGACGTTATCAGTTCAAAAAAAAAAAAAAACAAGCAGCCGAAGCAGTCGGTGTCTGTGGGCCATTCAAAGAATGGGCTACCGCGTCCCATTGACGGGCCGTTTCAAATACCTAATCTTCCTAATGGAATAACGCAATCGCGTCTGAGAGCCCGGACTTGAGCGTCAAACAGACGTGCTCACTGCTCAGGTACCGATACCGTAGGTACGAGTGGGCACTTTCAAACTTGTGTGGGTTTTGTGCCGTGCGCAACACCGGAAACTGATAGCTTGAACAAGCGAACAAAGCGACCGTCGTCCGTCCAGCTGCGCGCATAGTGTGAACCACTAAAAGCCAGTCTTTTTGCAGACTCGCATGGTAGGACATTGACGTTTGATCGATGTCAAATGTGTATTTCTGTATTTGATTTCCCTCTGTGCAGTGCCCATAATTAACTTAACTGTACTTAATTTATCATCATTGTATTTGTAATGAATTGCTCTTGATAAAATTTTGCTAATTTATCCATACAGCTACTTGCCAATCAACTTAGCTTTATGAATCTCTTCTTTGTATCGCTAAACGGCCGCACCAACTGCTAGGCATCAACCGCAAACAGTTCCCGTCGCCGCCCGCTCACCTCCGTCGAAGTTGGTGCCCTCGTAGCCGGGCAGGTCACCGATCGAGTCGAGCGGCGGCGCCGTGGGTACCAGCTGACCCTTGACCTGTCGCTGGGAGCTGTCCTGGCCGCTCGAGTCGGCGCTGGTGGCCTGCCAGCCGATCTGCTGGCCGGTGGGCATCTCACCCATCGGGTAGTGCGGGCCCGACATGGCGGGGCGGCGGCGGGGCGTCCGCCGGGGAGGGAGCGCGCCCGGCCGTGCTCACCACTCGTCGGCGGGCAGCTGGGGGTCGGGGGGGGAGCAGGTCAGTGGGGGAGCACCCGGCGGGGAGGGGTGGCATCGTCCGGTGACAGTGTATCTACAGGTTATCCATGTCACATTTGAATATAACTTGCATTGCGTAATGTTCTATAGCGCGGATTTTGCATTGTGGAATGACGGTATATTTCAGAGTACGGGTCGACGTCCAACACAGGGCAGGGCGCGTGACCAGCGGGACAGGGGTACCCGATGTCCTGGATGGCACAATCTTGGATGGCACTCATCAGGGGCCTCGCGTTACGCTGAAACCAAATTGTCATTGTCACTATTCTTTCTTACTTCTTAGACCTCGCCCTCTTCTTCCTCCTTTTCCGCTCAAGCCTCCTCATACGCCTCTTCCTCCGCTTTCCTCTCATCGTGACCGATTCCTCATGCACTAGTGTGAAACACGGGGAACGTTGTGGCGGAAATTAATGCCATTGGCACGGCGTGAAACTGTCAGTCGTTGAATGATTATCAAACTTGTTACCTACCTCGAACCAGAGCACCGCAAATATGATCATCGGATTTGAACAATCACACAATTTCGATTGTTAGGGCGAAATACGTATTACGATAGCTCTTTTTGTACTCGACTAAATGCTTAAGTCAGAACGTCCCGTCTATTTTAGCCTCTGCTGTATATGTCACATTCATATCGTATACCTACGTCTAGGCTGAATAATACGGCCCCATTGCCGCCAGGACCCGCGGGTCATGAATGGCACGATAGCTGCGATCTCCCTCCCCTCCCTCCCCTTCGGTTTCGGGCTGCAGCGACACCCGACCACGCGCTCGCTATTCATTCCAATTCGCCGCCAAGGCCAGGCCAACCGACGGCGCCGACGACCGTCCGCACTGCATGGGCCGATCCGCCGGGTCACCACGGCACTCACCACTATGAGTTGACACCGGTCAACACTACACATGAGCGAGCACAGCACCACCACGACACGTGACGGTCGGTCACCAGATCACCATGAACCAACCTGAGAGAGCGGTGCCGGCACCACGCCCAGCTCACAGCTGCCTGACTCGCGCGCAGCCGCCGACCTCACCCCGAGCGGCCGACTGACGCCCGGCAGAGTGCGGGCTCGGAGGGAGGAGACACCGTCCGGCCCGGCTGGCCCATGTGGAGCGACCGCCAGACAGAGCGGCAACTTTGGCGGCCGCTCGGGACCGGCAGATACCCGACGGTTGATGATATATGGCGCGATGGATCCACGTCATACCTACTCGTCGCCACTGCGATTTCTCGGAACATGACAGTGATCAACTGGATATCTCTCCGATGAGCTCTGATCTTGTAGCGCCAAACCACATTCAGGTCAATGCACTTTCACATATGGTCAATGGTCATGATACGTGACCCACTACATTGTCTAATAAGAGACGCTTCCGTAGCACTGTTTTAGCACAAAAGCAGCAGCAATTTTCCGTAGCAATTTTAGCACAAAAGAGAAAAACGGTTCAACTTTCGGAGTGAAGCAATTACCTATAAGTCCCTACAGCTCAGAAGCAAAGTAATCTTTCTACAGCTTGCATATCTCAAACCGTCGCCACTCGCCAGACGTTTCGGCTTTCCACATAGGTCACGGCCAAGACGGTGCGGACACTACCCCTGGGACCTCACCCGGGCTGACCTCATACATGTGAATGGAAATAAGACGCTAATTTGTTATCGAATGACATTAGCTTCCATATCTCAAAATAATGAGACTCCCACGTTGAGAATGTGAGTCTCAAATTCGATTCACATTATCAAAGCGGGCGTCTCCCTGAGTCTGACCCCAGCGCTCGAAACGCGTCGTGCGGTACAGCATAACTTCAGGCGTTTACTAGTAGCGCCATCTATGGGGATAAATAACAGCTCAAAGTACAACAAACACTACGTCGAAGTTAGTGGTTTTAATTGACATTCCTGAAGGGAAATGTGTAACTATTTGCCAGGGGGCGGTATATAGGCATTTGAGGCGAATTGCTAACAGAGCGAGGTAATGTGTACTCACGTGAACTAAAAACAAAAACATACCTAACCTTCAAATTTTTTAGCGCACTGCTCTGAGGGAAGCCGCTGCCGGTAAAACAGGCGAGCATGTCGTAGACCACATAGAGATACCTATGTATATATCTTTCAAGTTTCAGCATGAATTTCCCACGAAAATTTGCGAGCAGCCTGACCAGTGACCACCCACCTTCCATCCCTGCCTCCGCCCCTGGAGTCTGTCACTAGCGGTAAAGATGGCGCTACCTGCCTGTGAAGCCACCCTTGCCCCTATCCCGCCCTCCTCCCGCCATCCACACTCAGAGCCGCCCCGTGGCAGGGTGACGGGAGCGCTGCAGCCGCTGGAGCCGATTCAGACAGCACTAGCAGGAGTCGGCACTGTCGGGGCCAGTGGTCGCAGTGGTCGGTGCGCAGCGGTAGAACTCCGAGCCCCGAGGAGACTAGCAGAGCTGTCCGGTGATCTTCGGGACCGGTGTTCGCTCCTGCACAACACAGGTGAGTCACGTGTGTTACTCGCAGCGTTTCGCGTGGGCTAGTATAAGTGCTGATCGACGTGGTAGAGACGCATTTTTTGCCAACGGAGAATCATAGGCATATTTGAGAATTTGAGAAACGTGGTTGCGAACGTGCCGCAAATGTACCTAATGTGCAGCTCATCCAGAGGCCAGTGGTGGTCAGTGGTGGGGACGTGAACGGCGGCGCACATCGCGGTGCAACGTTCAAGGTCAATGTATCAGCGTCGGTCACGTAGCGCAATAAGATGTTCATGTGGCTGCGCTGTGCTACCATGTGATAAGTTTTCTATTACCGTAACTCGGCACACAATGGCATTGTGTGTAATGGTAAATCGAGGCATACGTTCAATGTTGCATTTAGCCTCACTCTGGCTTCGGGTTGCAGTATGGCGCCGATGCTAGGCTAGATGCTAGATGAGTTACCACCGGAGTTCTATAGCCTTGGAGTTACCCATAATCCCATTTCACTGACGATAACAGTCGAAGAGGCCTGTCGTCCGTGGTGGCTGCGGGCGGCGCTGGCTCGTCGTCCGGCTCGTGTTTTCATCACATCACCACGTCAGCGCTGGGTCTGGGTTTTCCCACTGTTGGCGCCCGGGGCGCCTGGTTCGCCTGCACCCGGGGTCGCCTGCGTTCGTCGGACGCCGCCCGACAGAGTGACTCTGCCCCAGCTCCATCCGCAGGGGTACCGTACCTAGAATTGGTAAAGTTCGGCAGTTGATGTCATTTTGTCGTCGTGATGCTAGGTCGAATTAGTGGCAATAATCGACTTTATTTTAGCATCATGAGTCCGCGGCATCGGACCTTGAGCCAAATGCTGAATTTTCCAAGCAAGCCTGCAACTCTAAAGGCCGCCCCACACTGGAACTCGCATGCGGGTTGCGAGTTTGCGGGTTTTGAGTTTGCGGACATAATGCTAATTCATAGAGTGATTAGATCGCTCCCTTATGGTAACTTCATGAATGCAGTGAAGCCAGTGCACCTTCAGAAACTTACATATAGTCGCAATACCAACGCAACGAACCAAAATTCGACTCTAACGAAAAACCCGCAAACCTCGCAGAACTCGCAGACCTCGCAGCGAGGAAATTCGAAAGTTGACTCAAAACCAACTTCTGGAACGCGATGCAAGGTCGCTCGCAAGCTAAAAACATGCACACTCGCCTGTTAGATGGTAGTGTGGGTCACTCAGCTTAGATTGTATTGTTTGATTTTGAAGAAACCCGAAAACCCAAAAACTCGCAACCCGCATGCGAGGTCCAGTGTGGGGCGGCCTTTAGGAACACCGCCGGCGCCACTGACTAAACAAATGCATTCTAGGTAAACAAGTTATGTCGCCCTCTGCTTTCATAACAAATATTTATCACATCGACATTCGACACCCATCCCAAGAAAGCACGGTAGGACCGCGCGGGTCGCGGCGCGCACATCACCCTCGCCCGGCGCCTGGCAGTCCGCATTTGACCTGCTGGCTCAGTTTAACGTCTGTCCTTGATGTCTGACCGGCGAGAGCTGAACGGACATTCCAGCGGGACGGGGAGGTCATCGGGGGTTCCCGGTGACTCGGCTACCTGAGGCCACACCGGAGCGGCGCGGTGGCATTACGACTGGCGAGCGGACCCGTCTGCAGCCACGGGCGGATCCAGGGAGGGAAGTTAGAGTCACCGGTCATATCCCCCGATCCCTCAAAAGCTGATAGTGACCAAGTGCGCCTTACAACAACGCCGTTCGATTTATTCAGATAGGTCGGACCATCTCTCCCGTTAACATTTTTGGTGCTGCCGTTCAAAGACCAGTCACCTATGCAAATCACTTGTTTCGATCTACAGTATCAATTACGCGAGTCCCTCTAAAACCGAACGGACGGTCGGATGTGGTTCCAACGAGCTGCCGTCGCCGCAGCCACCGGATAGCGTAGTTCCAGAAAAGAATAAGATGTGCCCATCAGGCGGGAAGGGAGGGGAGGTTGTCGGGAGATGTTGCACAACTGGTGCAATGCTGAGACAGACACAACTGGGATACGTGCCATGCGTGCATCGTGGACGACCTAAAATGATTGTGTATTTACTGTTGCCATTTTGGTAATAACATCGGAGCAGGAAGAAACAAGATGTCCTTATAACCCCACGCTGCCTTTGCATACAAGCCGACAAGTTTTGCCACAATAAATAGGTAATGCCACGTATGTAGGTGTGTGTTTATTGATGAGTGCAAGTTATAAGCACAACCTTAAAAAATGAATGTCCTTTTTTCACTTTTATTCACGTTTCTAGCTTCCATATCTACTTCGTTGCAGTTCCAGAACCGAGCGCTTAACTGATTCCTCAGAAGTTATTATTTCTAACGGCTGGTATATCAGATAGGTATCTCCTCTGTTTCAGGATGGCTTACAATGCCGGACCGCCGCAGGGTGGTGCTCCCTACCAGCAGTATCCGTCCCAGCAAAACCCACCATACCCGTCCCAGCCGGCCCCGCAGTATCCGTCCCAGCCGGCCCCGCAGTACCCGTCCCAGGCTGCCCCGCCGTACCCGTCCCAGGCTGCCCCGCCGTACCCGTCCCAGGCTGCCCCGCAGTACCCGTCCCAGGCTGCCCCGCAGCACCCGTCCCAGGCCACCCCGCCGTATCTGGACCCCACCGCCTCGTCGGCGCCGCCTCAGATCGACGGCTACAGGGACATCGGCTTCGACGGAGGTGAGTTTCGATAATAAATAATTGTGGGCGAGCCACACGAGTTACATAGGTCGAGGGAACTTTGCATTGTGCTGTTAACTTCATTTATCTAAGGAATCGAACTTCCCCACGGATGTTAGTCTTACATAAATGCGATGTTACATGTTCGCACTTTTGCATAACCACCGTACTGCTTTTGAGCCCATCTGTGTTATTAGTATCGCTTTCACATCATAGATGGCGCTAGTAGTGAACGCCTGTAAGTATGCTGTACCGCACGGCCCATTTCAAGCAAATGTCGTTCCACTTCCCGATGCTTCGGGAGCACTTGATGGCGGCCATGAATTTTGGGAGGGGAATTCTGACGTTAGCTCAAATTCCACATGACGCTTCATGAACTCGCCCACGGTCAGTTTGCCGCCAGTTATTATATCCCTAATTTGGCCGATTCCCGGTAGGGTTCGTTCGACCGCCGGCCGATCCGATGCCGTCCGCGCCTCCGGCCGACCAGCCGCGCATAGCCTTCACGCAGGATCCGCTGACCCGGGACGAGGTCAAGGACGCGCTGGCCGCCTTCGTGGCCCAGCACTGCTGCTACGGCAGCGCTCCTATCAAAGACATGCAGATCAGGAACGTCGCGCCCACCTTCACGTTCAAGGTTCGTGAGCCTGAAACCGTTAATTCGTTTTTTTTTTCTGAAGATTGTTATGTTCGTAATTCACGGTTCGAGTGAGAGAGAGCTTAAGAGAAACGCGATTTATTTACTGCCGGTGCGAATGGGCCGAGAGAGTTCTCCGAAAACTAAACAAGTATGGCGAGCGCCACGCCTAGTCGCCCGCGCCAGTCATGCCGCTTGGCGCGCACGATCAGCTGAGCGTCGGCAGGGGCGCTCCCAGGCACACAGAGGTGGGGCCGCAGAGGCGGTCCAAGTACACACCCCCTATACCCGAACACAACATCCCCCCTCGAGACAACAGTCGTCAAAAACACACAAAAACACAACAATGCACGACGTTGTCTCACAGTCACTCCGCATACGAGGTCGCACCCCATTGAACTCGGAGCCGACCAGGAGCGCGGCGCTGCCGTCGAGAACGACGCGGGAGAGCGGCGGCGGCCGTCTCCACCTCGGGTGACCGCACCGGCGACGAGCGGCACACGGCCGGCGCACTAGCGGCGGGTCGGACCGCCCTCTCGGCGGCGACCGCGGTGCGCGCTGGCGGCGGCGGCGGCGGCGGCGGCTGAGGCGCACCCGCAGCGGGCGGGCGCGGGGCGGACGGAGCCACAGGCGGGGTGGGTTCCGTCAGAAGCGGCCGGTATGGGCGCAGGTAGCGGCGGTTACGCCACAGGACCCTGCCACTGGCCGTCTTGACGAGGTACGTGCGCCGCTGACCGACGCCCACGATCACTCCGATCCGGTTCCATCGGCCGGTGGCGGGGTCTTGAAGGTCGACCCGACTGCCGATCTTGAGCGGTGACAGCCGGCGCGTGCTCTTGTTGTAGCACCTGACGGCCTGCTCCTGGAGCTCGGCAGCCTTTTCCTCGCAGACATCGGCCGCCCGCTGCCACTCAGGAGCGAAGGCGCGGTGGTGCGTGGGAACACCAGAGCGAAGCGGGTGACCAAACAGCACCTGTGCCGGCGACCGTCCGTCTGCTCGGGGCGTGTTACGGAGTTCGAGCAGACTTCGGTCCAGTTGGTCCTGGTCGAGCCGGCCCGATGAGGACGCAGCCAGCACCAGCTTCTTCGCTGTCTTCACGCAGGCCTCCGCGTGCCCGTTAGCGCGCGGGTAGTGCGGTGACGACATCTCATGTCGTACGTCCCAGCGCTGGAGGAACCGGCGGAGCGTGCCTGATGCAAACTGGGGTCCGCCGTCTGACCGGAACACGGTCGGGACGCCCGTCTGCGAGAACATCAGTCGGAGCTGCCGCGTCAGATGGTCCGCCGAGGCCGTGCGGGGACACACTGTGACATACGGCCACCCGGACAGCCGGTCCACGTACACCAGGTACGTGTGTCCTCCAGCGGAGAAGTAGTCGGCCGAGACCGACTCGAAGACGCGTGTCGGTGCGCCGTCCTCCTGCCACATCGGCTCCCGGGCGTGGCTGGGCAGGCGCTGACGGCACTGAGCGCAGGCGGCGACAGTGTCAGCAATCTGCTTGTCGATGCCCGGCCAGTACACACTGAGCCGAGCACGGCGCTTGGTCCGATCAACGCCCTGGTGTGACTCGTGGAGTTTCTTTAGCACACCGCGTCGGAGGGCGGACGGGATGACCAGTCGAGCGCCGTAGACCACCAGTCCGTCGTCGATGGCCAGCTGATGGCGCACGCCCCAGTACGCTCGTACTGCAGGGGGCGTCTCGTGCCGGTTCTCTGGGAATCCGGCCAGGATCAGCTCGCTGAGAGTCTGGTACTCGGTGTCGCGCTCCGCGGCGGCGCGGACTCTCTCCAGTGTGGAGTCGACCAGCGGAGCCAGCTGGGCGCCCTCCTCCGATCGAGCGGAGGCCTGCAGCGCGGCAATGACGCTGGCGTGCAGCGGGTCGTCCTCGGTGTCCACCGCTCCGTCATCAGCGGCGGGGTCGCTGGTGGGCGCTCGCGAGAGCGCGTCTGGGATCACGTGACTCGATCCCTTTTGCCAGCTGGTGGTGAAGCTGTAGGCCAACAACTTCTCTCTCATCCGCTGCAGACGCGGGTTGTCGATCGAGTTGAGCTGCTTGTAGTTTAGGATGGTCACCAGCGGTCGGTGGTCGACCACCAGGTCGAAGTGGGGCATGCCAGCCAGGTAGACATGGCACTTCTTGCAGGCCCAGAGTACAGCAGCCAGCTCCAGCTCGATTACAGCATATCGGCTCTCGGTATCGGTCAGGAACCGTGAACCATACTGGACCACACGCCAGTCCTCTCCGTGCCTCTGGAGCAGTGCAAAACCCAGTCCTCGGGTTTTAGCAGCGTCTGTCTGTAGCACGGTCGGCAGCTGGGGGTCGAAGAATGCCATCACCGGCGGTGACGACAGCACAATCTTGGTGTGCAGAAACGCTGCCTCGTGCTGCTCAGTCCAGCGCCAGACCCGGCGCGACTTGAGGAGGTCTCTGAAGGCCTGAGTCGAGTCAGCCAGCTCCGGTGTGAGGCCGCTCAGCTGATTCACCAGACCCATGAAGGACCGCAGGTCGGTGACGTTCTCCGGTCTCGGGAAATCAGCGATGGCGCGCGCCTTTTCATTGTCGGTGGTGTAGCCGGCCGGGGTGATCTTGTAGCCGCAGAATTTGACCTCATTCTGGGCGAACTTGAACTTCAGCGGGTTCAGCGTGATTCCTCGGTCGTCACAGCGCCGGAGGATTTCGATCACCTGCTGCAGGTGCTGCCGGTACGTCTGTGCCACGGCCAGGATGTCGTCGACAATCTTGACACAGTTTGGGATGTCGCCGAGCGCGGCATCGCCGCGCCGGTTGTACTCGTCTCCAGACGCACTGCATCCCATCGGACAGCGGACGAACTTGAACCTGCCCCACGGCGTGATGAAGCAGGTGAGGTCCTGACTTGACTCAGCGAGCGGCACCTGGAAGTAGCCCATCTTGGCGTCCAGAGTCGACATCCACCGGTGCCCGGCGGGCAGACTCGTCACGGCATCGTGAGGAGACCGGCAGGGGTACGTGGGTCGATTCACGTACCGGTTGAGTCCCGTCAGGTCCACACAGAGTCGAAACCCGGACGGGTTCTTCGGCACGCACGAAATGGGATGGCACCATTCCGTCGGGTAGTCCACAGGGACGATGACGCCGCGGTCCAGCAGGTCGTCCAGCTGCGCCTTTACCTCGGCACGCCAGGCGAAGGGGATCGGTCTCGCAGCGGTGACCGACGTCGGACACGCGTCGGGCCGGAGTTCGATCGTCATCGGACCGCCGTCCATGACTCGAAGAGTCGAATCTTGCCCGAACACACGCGGGAAACACTCCACCAGAGCGGCTGCATGAGCTGCACGGACCGCCTCCGGTGGGTCTGAGTCGCTGTCCCAGGCCGGCAGCGGACCGCTGAGGCCGGCGGCCGGGCCGGGTCCATCGGCCGGCGGCGCCGGCGCGCCCGTCTCGGTCCCGGTGGCCGGACAGGGCCTGTCACGCGGCGCCTCATACGGGGCCGAGCGGCCGCTGGCGCTACGAGCGGAGCCGGCAGCGGCCGGCGGTGCAGACGGTGTGACGTCATTAGAGGGTGTGACGTCACCATCGGATGTGACGTCAACAGAGGCCGTGACGTCATCAGCAGGGCGCGGTGCGTCCTCGACGGACCGGATCTGTGCCGGAAAATCCCTCGGCAGAATCCCCAGCGCCACACAGTCGAACCAGCTGAGTAGCAGGCCAGTCAGCTCCCTGATGACGAACACGGCAGCGGTGGTCGATCGGTCGCCCAGCTCCAGCGTAGCCCGGAACGACCCGACACAGGTGAGCGGCTGTTTCCCTACTGCTGAAAATGGCTGGCCGATGCAGGGCTCCAACTGCGCTGGTTCCACGCAGATGGAAGACAGGCTGTCTTCGCCGATGACTGTCGCCTCGGCGCCGGAGTCGGCCCGGGCCGGCACGGTGAACACACCAGCCGGCGTAGACAGTCGGACAGTCACAGGGGGAGTCGGCCGCGTCGAGATGCCGTTCACGTAGACGTCTCTGATGACACGGCAGATGCGCGGCTCTGACGGCTGCCCCACCGCGGGCCGCGCGCGCTCCGGTGCTGCGCGCTCGGCGGGGGCAGCGGCGCTCTCGCGCGCCACCTGGGCGCACACCACTGCAAAGTGGCCGCGCTGGCCACACGAGTTGCAGATGGCGCTAGTAGCGCGGCACGCCGCCGGGTCTGCGTGGGCGGCCCGCCCGCAGCGGCAGCAGCGCGCGCCGGCCGCGCCCGCGGAGCGCCCGCCAGGTTGGGCCGCGGGGCGCGCCTGGGGGCGGCGCACGCCGGCCGTACCCGCGGAACGCCCGCCGGGTTGGGCCGCGGGGCGCGCATCGCGCGACCTTGAACGGCGGTATGCCGACAGACGGCTCACTGACGCCGTCGGTGAGCGGAGGTCGGAGCAGGTAGCCCGGGCGTTCTCTGACGCACGGCAGATGTCCACCGTCTTCTTGAGGTCCAGCCCCGGATCCTCCAACAGACGCTTCACCGTCTCCTCGTCCCGCAGGCCACACACAATCTTGTCACGCAGGCGTGAGTCGTAACAGTGTGTGCAAAAGTCGCAAAATGCCGCGAGCTCCTTCACTTCGCACAGAAACTCCTCAAAATTCTCGCCCTGCTCCTGGACACGGGCGTAGAACGCACGGCGGTCGACCAGGACACTGCGCTGCTTACGGAGATGACTCTCCATTGCGTCTACCACCGCGGAGAGGGGAGAGTCGTCCGCTATCGTCAGTCCATAGCGCAGCACCCGGTGCCAATCTTCGTCGAGAAGACTGAGAAGGGCAGCTCTCTGGGCAGTGACGGGCAGCGCGGACGCGCCGGTCAGAAGCATGTACCCGTCCAGCTTCTCCCTCCATACAGCGAAGTCGCGCAGGGATGTGGAGGACGACAGCTGAGGCGCCGGCGTTGCAGCAGCAGGCAGGCGCACGGGCGGGGCGGCAGCCGACGTCCGGGCGGCTGTCGCCGCCGAGGCATCGTCGGCAGCGACGGTAGCGGGTGGCTGTCGGTCGGCGACCAGTCGCTCCACCATCTGAGTGAGCCGCTCCTCGCGCTGCGCTGAGTCTCGCTCCCGCTGCGCGGACAGCTCCGCCTGCTGCAGGAGCAGCTGCGTCAGTTTCTCAATGTCACTCATCGTCACAGATCACGGCGCGCTATACACTAATCACTGATACACTGATACACTGATCACTGCGCGCACGCACGAAACCATCTACTGACCGCGCCATGTTATGTTCGTAATTCACGGTTCGAGTGAGAGAGAGCTTAAGAGAAACGCGATTTATTTACTGCCGGTGCGAATGGGCCGAGAGAGTTCTCCGAAAACTAAACAAGTATGGCGAGCGCCACGCCTAGTCGCCCGCGCCAGTCATGCCGCTTGGCGCGCACGATCAGCTGAGCGTCGGCAGGGGCGCTCCCAGGCACACAGAGGTGGGGCCGCAGAGGCGGTCCAAGTACACACCCCCTATACCCGAACACAACAAAGATTACTTAGGTGATAGCGCTTCTGCAATAGGTAGGCTCATCGGTATATCACCGTGTATTCAAATATTGCTGGTGTGCCGAAAGTGTTTGACTCTAAACTCTAACTACAGTCATTCATGAACATCTTATGTTCATCGTCCCGCTCGGTTCCATAACTACTGACGCATTACGTGGTGCATGTCTGATGGCTTATTGTGACATCTTACGGAATTTTCAGTATACCCTGGAGAGTTTTGTGGAGAAGCGCGAGACAAAGTGGAAGTTTGAGCCGTTCTCGGGAAACGGTCTTCCGGCCGGCGGGGGCCCGGCGCCTCAGCCGTGGGAGATTCCGCTCACACCGGGGGCGCTGTTCAAGGTGAGATCACTACTGGTCGAGCTACCCAACACAGCGGCGCAGCTAGAGCTGGTTTATTGTTTGACCTTACCACTCTTATTAGTTAATGTGCTTATACAAGGGCGCGAAGATAATTTTTGAAAGCTATGCATTTCTTGCACTGGTAATTGATACGACTTCAAAGAGGCAACAAAAATTGCATTTCGTCAACTTTCAAAGAAAGCTAATTCTAGCTTGTTTTCTCAAAAACGTAGTCGCAAGCCCCGATCAATCAATAAATGGACTCCATCCAAGCTGTCGCGGATCGTGTACTTCCAGGCCCCATACTCCTATGTCGGGACTAGTAGCGAGATCGCATTCTTCGCGCGATAACGTTCACTCTGACTGTGGGGCCTGTGTTTCAGGACGAGAAAAAGGTACTACAGGTGCCGAACACTCAGACGCTGAGGCCCTGTCACGACTGCCAGGCCCACGGGGATGTGCGCTGCAAGCACTGCGCCGGCAGGGGGCAGGTCAGATTACCACACGGGTCACCAAACACTGCCGTCACAGGGCAGGTCCGATTACCACACGGGTCACGAACACTGCCGACAGGGGCGGATCAGTCACTGCTCGGGTTACCGTTGGAACAACTGGATTATGAGCTCTCCGGTCCGGACAAATATTTCGGAAAACGTCTGAACTCGACAGCACTCAGGTAGTCAATCAAAGAGTCTTGCTATGATCCGCCCCCATGTAAACTGGGATGGACTCAGCCCCCGCGACTCACTCAGGGTGCTTGTCCAGACCATTGTCTGCCCGAATTCCTATCATCCTTCCGGCTCTGAAATGGTCTCGTCAGACCAAAAGGGTCTGCCTACCCCCCCCCCCCCCCAATGTGTAAACAGCACCGGAGCTGACCTGTAACACCATCCACCGCCAGCGCTCCCAGGACCGGTGAGCAGTGAAACTGGTGTGACCTCACCGTCTGTACACCCCAGACCTGACCTGTAACCCCACCCCCGTGTACTTTAGACCTGATCCGTTGTCCCACCTCCGTGCACGCTTCTTACGACCGATGACCCTGCTTCGGCCTTTAGCCCTGTACCCCAGACCTAGCCTGTACTGATGCCCTTGCACCCCTCCCCAGGACCGGTGCGGCCAGTGCGGCGGCAGCGGCCAGCGGCTGGGTGACGTCTGCAGCCGCTGCGGCGGCATCGGCACCAACAAGTGCACCTGGTGCGTCGGCAACGGCATGGTCACCTGCACCACCTGCAAGGGCAAGCGCAACCTCAAGTACTACGTCGAGATGACTGTCACCTGGTGAGCGCGCGCACTCTCACCGCGAAAGAGAAAGAAAGAAAGGAAAGAGAAGGAAAGAAGGAGAAAGGAGAGAAAGAAAGAGAAAGGCAAAGATAAGGGATAGAAGACGCTGGACAATTGATCTGCGGTCCGGAACTGGCGGTGTTCTGTGGCGAGCGAAGACGTGTAGGTGGGTTAGATACGGTAACCAGTCAATGTAGCAACAAACTGTGAAAAAAGTTCGCTTACGGACGTGTTCACGAAACAAAGTACAAACTACAAACTCCCCTCCCCTCACTCCCCCCCGTCCCACCCCCAGGAAGGTGCACGCTGACCGGTACGTGGTGGAGACTCCGGCCGGCCTGCCCGACTCGGAGGTCGCAGCCGTCAGTGGGGAGACCGTCTGCCAAGCCAAGGCGCACCTGGTCTGGCCACTGACCGGCTTCCCCGACAGCCGGATCGTGACGGCCTCCGAGCACCTGGTCAGAAAACACCACACCGGGTGGCCGATGGGACGCATTCTGCAACAGGTATGGTAGGGGGACGTATTATTCTGTGACAGGTGTGGTGGGGGAGGTTCTACAATAGTTATGATGGGGGGGGGGGGGCATTTTGTGACAGGTATGGAATGGACATTTTGCGGCAGCTGGTACACGCGATTTCGGGTAGTTTGCAGAACCGTACAGATGGCAGAACATAGGACCGGATCATACTAGTGAATATACTGATGCCATTGATTGCCGCCTGAATTACTGCCCTCAGTCCTGCAGGCTGCAACGCACTCACTGCATACATCACTACTTCTACTGGATTTCCAAAGTAAGCTGTCTATGGTGTGTGTATCTCATTCTCTCACATTGCACATCTAACATTCCCCCCTCTTCTTCCTCAGCGCCACGACGTGCAACAGATCGCGATACACAGCGTCTCCTACAACTACGGCGGCAACGAGGGCACCTTCTTCGTCTGCGGCCACGAGCGGAACGTCCACTTTCCCGACTACCCGTCTCAGTGCTGCGGCTGCTGCGCAGTTATGTGATGACGTCACGATGTGGGGATGACGTCATGTGATGCGGGAGTGACGTCATGTGATGTTGAGATGAGGTTATGTGATATGGGAATAGCGTCGTAAGGGTATTCTCATTGCGTCATTGACACATTACGGTAAATGAAGGTTTATGACCACAGGCCAGACGGCAGAGCTTTTTGTACATTTTGAGCGTTTTGTTTGCTTATCAGTTGTATTCCACGCATTCGTGTACTGTGATGTACATAGGTACATACACGTGGTGTTATGACATTTTTGCAGCTTGGATAGTCTCTTTTTATTTACATAGGCGATTGTGCATGCACATATACGGTGTAGTGATCATGCAGGGGCGCATATGCGCGTGAACGTATTCATATTCCTGCAGAGTTCAGTTCAGTGCCTTGAATGACTCGGGGAAGCTTCAAGGTAAACAACAAACATGACCAGTTTTCGTAAAAATAAACTTTTCTTTCCTCGAAATGTGTTTTTCTGTACTGCTATCCAGTATAAGCAGACAATCTCAGTCTTATCGACCATCCCCACACGCTTGATATGCATCTTTTCCACATGTCACTGATGACATAAAATTCGCATCAGCATTTCAAATCAAGCAAAAAAAGGAGGATGAAACGCATGGATGATATTTTATAAGCACATTTAATTGACTAAGCATCTTATGAATTTTTCAATCGGCAGTTTCATGGTATAGCCCATTGCGATAAACACTTGTATTGATTTACGACGACACACACGGGTACTTACCAAAAATTTGGTGCAAGACACTAATTTATAAAATCCTGAGAAAAATTTGATATCAAAACATGACGTGATATCAAAATAGCATCGCCAATATGGACTAAAAGTACGTTACTCGAGCGATAAAAGCTAAAAAACCATGCATGGTTCGAGATTATACAAGCAGATCTACTGTTATATGATGCTTGACATGCTCCTTAATTTGATAGCACGTCGGACTTCGGACACGAGCACGTCGGACAGAGTCGAAAACGGCGTCCGGATGTAAAATATTACGTACATCACTACACACTCGGCAGATCTCAGGAGATTTTACGATCCACGGCAGATGGGCATAATCGTCATTTAGTGAAAATATTACGCAGAAGCCCTGTAATCCCTGCAAAACCTGATAAGATGTTGCATGTTACGTTCCAGATAACGTGAACAATATTGTGCAACCATTATTAATAAACATGTACAGATAAAATAACATGATTGATTGCGTATTAAGCTCGCATTGGTCCCAACCACGGCCCCAGTAAGCGTATTAACATATGGATACCGTAAAATGCTTCACCATTTAATAGTACGTTCCATGACATCGTTATGTCGTTCACGAACTATTCGTATATTGTTATCAGATTCGTTGACCCAGCCCGTCGTTCCTCCCCGCTTCACTGACCTACGCCGCGTCCTCCTGTTCCTCCCCCGCCTCCCGCAGCGCCTGCCTCAGGTCCTCCACCGCGTCCAGCACGTCCTGTTCGCTGGAAGTCCGGCCCAGACTGAGCCGCACCGTTCTCCGGGCGTCCTTCGGGGAGACGCCACTCCGGAGCAGCACCCCGCTGAGACCGCCGACACCCCGCGCCCCGTCCGGCGCCCCGCAGAGGCCGGCTGAGACGCCCTCACTCCCCACATCGCCTGATGTCTTCTGTGTTTCCGCACGTGGCTCTCTCGCCCCAGTCACCACTGTACTAGCTGTCTCACAGTCCCCCGCCGACGCCACGGGCGTCTCGTGGCAAGCGGACCCCACGCTGGCCAGCAGGCGCCGGCACCGGAGCAGCACCTCCCTGCCGGACCGGCGGCCCGAGAGGACTGCGCTGCACGTGTTGGGCAGTCGGGGCGAGTCGCGCAGGTTGATACTCTCGGCCACGCCAGTCTCCTGTTGCGGGGAGCGTAGAGTTAGATCAAGTCTCACGGTTGTTGGGAGTGAGAGGGACACGCTAAATAAACGCATGACAAACGAGAGACAGTCGCGAGGAAGGGATGCTGCTGATCTGGACAACCAGTTCTGCGATACTCTGCTATTCACTCTTGCTTCTCTCTAGGTTATTCATTCAAATTGCAAAATAATATCCGCGGCATCAGCTCCCCTTTTACAATATCAATTGCGCGATGACGTTTGTTTGAGGGCGCTCCAAACGCACCGTTACGCTTTACTTCCAGCCCCCGACTGACCAGGAGTCGCCGCTCCAGCAGATTTCTGAGCCGCTCCATGTGCTGTCGGTCCCTCTCCAGACCCTGCTGCACCAGTCGACAGGCGGTGCCCAGCCCGCGCACCAGCGGGGTGATCTCCGTTCCCGGCCGCACACCGCCCTCCTGACCGCCGCCGCGCAGCAGCGTGATACACGCACTACCGTCCGCGCCGCGCGTCAGACCCAGGGCAGAGGCCCACAGCGCGGCGATCCGCGGTCCGTACAGCTGCCGGAGGGCGGCGGGGTGTCAGACTGTACAGCGGAGGAACAGCAAGGAAAAATATTGGACTGTGGAAAAGCATTCCAATTCCCAACAAAACATTCGTTATTTACCTTGGCCCACCAGGTAAGCAAGCTGCAAAGTGCAAACTGATGCGCATAAAAACAGCACCAGTAACATTTGTTTCGTCAAACATTAATCATTTACGCCGTTTCCCTATCATTGCTAAACATCTGTCCTGCTTGACAACACGAAGAAGAACCACGCACGCGGGCAGCTACTGTCACTACAGCCACACCTACCTTATGGCCGACGACAGTGAGGAAATCGACACCGAGCCGACAGACGTCCACGGGCAGTTTGCCGACCGTCTGAGCCGAGTCCGTGTGGAACCAGATGTGCTGGCGGTGCGGGGACTCGGACAGAGCGCTGGAGAGAATCGGAATAATAACAATAAAGAGTTAGGGTGGCGGCTCTGAGGGACAGCGATGCTGACAAGGAAAGCATAGCTTGAAGGGCAGCAGGTAACGATTAAGGAGCAGGTGACGTAGCATTCGATACCAAACTACCATTCACACATTCGCATACCATTAGAACCAATGTCAGATTATTAAAGATCCTCGATCTTCCGAGACCTAAGAGACCACCTAGCTCACCGTCCGATCGCCTCGATGTCGTTGACCACCCCAGTCTCATTGTTGGCGTGCATCACCGAGACGAGGCAGGTATCGGGGGAGAGAGCCGCGCGCAGTTCCGACACGCTCACCCGGCCCCCCGCGCGGCACGGCAGCCGGGTCACTGCAGAGACGAGAGGGGGTGATAAATCGGACACAATGCCGCACAAACAGCATACTCACCCGGCCCCCCGCGCGGCACGGCAGCCGGGTCACTGCAGAGACGAAAGGGGGGGGGGGGTGATGTATAGAACATGACGTATCACAAGCAGCACCAATAACCTATTCACAAAGCAAATACACAACGGGGTTCGGTACACAACGGACAAAAAACGCACATCCATTCAGAAATCAGTGCTCAACACAAGCCCTGTGCACCGTAGCATATAGAGTAGCATGCATTGTTGGCAACATAGCTGCGACCGGAATATAAGACCGGATAGTCGACACGAACAAGTATTTGTTGACCGTTACGTGAAAAGTTCGATACAGGAGAAACAGATTAGCCAAAAAAAAAAATCGACACATCTATCTAAGTAGCTACAGGAAAAAGTTGGCTATACTTGTGGAGACCCGCTATTAGCGAGGTCTAAGACCCATGATTCCCGGCTGCAGTATAGCACACACCAGAGCAGACTGATCATGCTAACCCACCAGAGCAGAGTCGCCGCCGCTGCAGGTCGGCGACCGGCGCCTCGACGGCGTCGTGCTCCGTGTCAGAGATGATGAGGTGCGGTGTGCCCCGGCGGCCGGTCGCCCGGTAAAACTCGAGAGAACCGCGGACCACCATATTGTTCGCCTGGAAACGGTACGAGGCAGGATGCAAATGCAGCTTTAACGAAAGAAAATTAACGGTGAAGACTGAAGAGCACTTAAGACAAGTCTAGACTGAATATAAGTGCAAAGGGATGTAACATTCCAACTTATTTGTGCCTTCCCTGGTTTATATGAAAGTAAATGTCAAATTGGACCTACACGTACACCACCCTATCATTCTTCCACTCAAGCCACACTGCACTTGACGTGCAGGAGTTGCTTTCAAAAAGCAGTCAAACTGGGGGAACCCCGACCCACCTCAGTGCCCCCGGAGGTGAAGATAACGTGCTCTGGCTGGGCGCCAATGGCCGCAGCCACGTGACTGCGTGCTTCCTCCAGCACGCGGCGCGCGCTCCGGCCTGGTGGGTGGGTCGAGCTCGGGTTGGCCCAGTGCCGGTGCAGCGAGTCGGCGATGTCAGCCTTCACCTCGGCCGCCAACGGAGTGGTGGCATTGTAGTCCATGTAGAGCGTAGGGTCTGGGTTGGTGTCACTCACCATGGTGTGTGGTGGTATGAGATCTGAGGAGTAGGTGGCTTGAGCAAGAATACTAAGAGAAAATGATAGGAAAAATCCTAAAAACAAAAATCTTCCATCTGTAACGTTGATGAAAATAAATTCCTGCCCGGGGCCGGGATGATTCAATAAATGTCACCGAGGTTTTTTAGCGAAAACTCCGAGGGCCGTTAGGCCCGAGGTGCTTTTCGCTAAAAAAGCGAGGTGACATTTATTGAATTCCCGGCCTTAGGGCTGGAAGGTGTTTCCCATACCTGCCAAAAAGCTCACAACTATAATTGATAGTGACGTCAGCAGCCGTGTGGTTCAGTTCAACGCGTTTAACCACACCCCTTGAACCACACGGCTGGCAATATTAAAGCACTGCATTAAACTTTGAAAAGTGTGGTCTGTGCACGTGACATTGAAATGCCTGGATGTCTCGATTTAATCATGCAATGTAGCAGGTATGGGAAACTTGAAAATTGAAGGTATCATGGGTTTTTAATTATGCTCACTGGTCCAATAGCAGTAGGCGGAACTATGGCCAAGCCTGCCATTTTTGGGAATGCATTTTCGTTCCTATAGTTGGGAATG